TTTTGCAAGGTAAAAAGCGTAAAGCGCGTTATTTTGTTTACAAGGAGTTTTTATTATTTTTTAGAGTTCACGTGATGATATGGATTTGAAATACGTGATTACCCGCGTTACTATGACGTCAACTACTGCAACAATTGGTTAGATATATATCGGTCGATGAGTGGCAGTAATATTTACGTCATATGTTTTGCTCAATCATCTTAATAAGCCGCAGGTTTTAGTATCACGCTCAACATTACTATGAGTCTAATAGATAATTCGTTAGGAAGTTTATTGACGTATTAAGGAAAGTAATAATTATTAAGTAATATATTTTTTCGGCAATTAAAACATTAAACATATACTTGCTCAGTATTGGATCAATGTCGTAGTAGCAAATTATATTCACCTTTTCCATATTCCGCCTTTTTAGTATAGTTTTTATCATGTTTGCCGCATATAAATGACTTAATAGTGTTCAATGTCAACATAGAAATAGTTGTGCGATATCAACAACTGAGTGTGATCTGTACAGATCATAATTATCCCACTTATTTTGGACTATAACTATCCCAATTGACGACGGTGTCGCATTTCTGTCGTTATGACACATTTTTGACGATGGTGTCAGATTTTATCGTCATGATCGTGGCCGATTTCCATCACTGGGTCACATGAGCAAAAAATATATCTGACGATACATCCAATCATATATTGTCATTTGCGGGCCTAATGTGAGGGCTATGCCCGAACCTAGCACATAGTGCCGAATTGTATTTCGAAGAAATGGCACGAAGTGCCTTAGCAGTTGTTAGCTTCGCATAATTTGTTTGAATATTACCTGAGAATGAGGCACGTAGTGTCAAATTGTCATCATTTATTTGGTAATACGTCAAAGCACAAATTTATCTTATCTTTTTTCTTATAATTTCTGCCTTGACGTATTATCAAAAGTTTGATGTACTTTTTGATTCTAGAACTCTTTCTCACATAACCAATACTTTCGAATACTTTGCTTTATGTTAAAAATTGTATTACTTTTTTGATAACCTTGACGTATTACTTTTTGAATAGCCTTGACGTATTATTTTTTTGTTAACCTTGACGTATTACTTTTTAGTAAGCTTGACGTATTACTTTTTGATACCCACTTTTTTTACTTGACTTGGTGACCACCAAAGCATAATTTTATATTATATATCTGTAATAATTATACCTTGGTGGCCCAACTTTTCAGCATGTTATCTCTATCCGAAGTATAATACTAGATATGCATTATATCCAAAACTATATTGAGATCAAATCGTGTGACACAAAAATGGTTATTGGATAAATTACCTTACATTATATCAAAAGTACTTACGTAAAATTGCAATAGGGCAGACATGTAAATCAGGTGAGAGAACCACCTGCAACCCTAAAACCCTCTTTGTATAATCCGGGTATCAAGTATAATAATTTTTTATTTGAATTTTTTCTTATACTTATTTGTAAGAAGTGACAAAAACCCCTTTACCTAAAATGTATAACTGGCTGAATATCGATATAACAATCTCTCTGCTCTGGAAATTACTATTTAGCTAAGTTATATATATTTGATAAGAGCCAAAGATTTACTTTTCAGCTTTTTTTTGTGTGGAGTAGTAGGAACCTTCATTTTAACCTCAAAATTTCACTTATATTCCAAGAAAGCGACCTCATCCATGCTCTCATGCTCTTTTTTCCAATAATTATGGTTATTATTATCCCACATTTCAAAGGCAATCTTGGCTCCAATTTTTCTTTCAACATTTGGAATTTTTGCTGTAAAAGAAGGATAAGGGCATTGATATCAGATTCATTTTTAATAAGAAATTCTGAAGATAGAGAAGTTAAGGATTTGGATATCTTTTTCTCAACTGTGCTGGCTTCACTAATAGTAGTATCAACATAGCATCTATCTTGGACAAGACCAGCAGATTGAAATTTCTAGTTGAAGGATGTTTCTGGTGCTCAATATGTAGGGCGAAGTCCATTGCAAGATGATAGATAGAAGTCTAGGATAGGGATGTTTAAAGGAAGGAATAAAGCATGAAAGATCACACCCACCAGCCTTTTGAAATTTAGTGTAGAATATTAATGGCAAAATTAACTTTGGATGTTGCAAAAGAGATTGCACCTTTGAAAGATGTATCTAAAATAAACTATAAAGAGCCCAAATCCCAGCTATACTAATCATAATGTAATATTAATATAGCATACAATTTCATCTATTGCAAAAGAAATTGACGAATTATGGCAAATGCTTCTAGTACTTCTCGTCTCCCATCTGGTTTTGCAATGTGCAGACCAGTCTCTGGAACCTCCCCTTCTGGCCATCTTTTAATGACAACAGACTCATTCCTTTATTTCATGTATTTGCCCCCGCTTTAGCCATCCCCTATTTCTGGTAAAACACCTGTCTGAATGAAATGGAAACATCTGCAGCTAAACAATTTGCCTTCCCCTGTACATTCTCTCGTTCAACAACGCTATGCCCTCAACTTGTTTTCTTGTGATAAGTTTAGGTTTCTTATTATTCTGATTAATTCACTACTCGTGGGTTAAAGGAATTTATAGAATTGTGGCGACGTTATTTACAATAAACGTTAATTTTTTGCAAAATTGATGTTCATTCATAAAAAACAAAGCGGCTTTCGATTTTCTGATTCCTAATTACATTTTCGAAACGTTCTGCTATACAACGATTACTGTATTACGTTCTACTTAATCGAATGTTGAATATCTGTTATTACCGACGTTTACAATTGAAAGTATTTATAATTTACTGCTTATGTGTTAGTCGGTGCGGGGGAAATCACTGTGGTTATAGCATCATTGTAATTTTAATTTTTAATTAATAATTTTATAGCATCGTTTATAATATATCTAATAATAATTTGGTGTAAAGAAACCCCAATCGTTTGCGAATTAGGAATTTAAAAATCATAACTTTTTTTTTTGCAACGAGCCGTTTGTAAGTTCATTTTCTTCATCCGTGCAATTTGACTGAAATTTTTCATTTTTTTACTTATCAATTGTTTAGAGACATTCAATTCGTTTTTTCTTTAATTCAGCAATAATGCACGAGCCTTGTGTGCATATCATATCACATTAAAAAGGAATGTAGTACAGTTACGCGCAACAATATCTCAATGTCGCTTTGAAGGTGTAGAAGGAATTAACAATCTGAGTGCTTTGTTAATTTTTTCCTAGCATAGCATCGTGGAACGAATCATTTCACCGCGTATAATGAGAAGTAAAAAATTATTGTAGCATCGATGCTACTGTGTTCATTAAAGTTACGATTGAGTTGCAAAATGTTCATCAAGCAATCTTTGTCCGCATAACACACTTATTTGGTATTAAGATGAAGCAGTACGCGAACAAATAATCACGTCCCGGATGAAGACGAAATCATCGAGCAAAGCTCAACGCATAGTTTTCAGCAGAATTAAAGAATTGAATAATAAATAAAGGTAGAAGGTATTTGTGAAGACGCGGGTGGAACGGAATAAAATAGCGTGATATTAAGAAATTATACCGCAAAAACGACTGTAATTGGCACAGCTGGATTAGACAAGGCTCAGTATTGTGACAAATAGGAAAGGGGCTTTCAATTCTGTTACATGATTTAATAGCTACACTTTGTCCAATCTTTCCGATTAAATTAGACAGTATTATGAAAATCTTTTTCCACAACTCTTGTCTATGTTTATCATGCAAGTAACGTATATCACTTTGCTGACATATCGACAGACAGATAAACAGATTTTGCAGCCTTCAATTAATACGGTAAAATCTTCCGTCACTCTTGCTTAAATTTCCATATCTTCTAAATCACCTTCACTCTCCTCCCCTTTCTCCTGCTCATCACTATCGCTCCTTATTCTCTTCTTCTGCTTCCTTTTCTTGCCCTTTCCCGAACTATCGCCCGCTTTCCACAATTCATGCGGTTCTAATTCTGATACGGGATTATAGGATATAACAGATTTATGTGTCTTTGTACGCGTGACTAATGGTGTATATAAGCATATAGCATATCAGAGTTAATGCGAAAATAAATTGAAAGTGGGCGCAGGGTAACCATAAAGTGAACAACGTTTGGTAAGCATCTTACTTGCGTGTAATAATACAGCTCTGCAGTTTGTCGAAATACAATCTTTAGCTTGGGCTTGATTCAGTCCCATTATTGTTCCCCTGAGAAGCGTAGTTGTGAGAATTAATACCAAAAGTAGAGTTGGCTTTATGAGTTGTTAAAGACATTTGACTAACAAATTGATGATATCATATGGTCCTCGAAGTTCCATTGCTCGTTGTGCATCGCTGGTGATTATGATGTTTCTTCCGCGAGTTATTCTTACTAGATTCTGTGCATTACTGATAAGCTGTCTTCGACTTCCAGAATCTTTAAATAGTTCCGCATCGAATTGGTGTAATCCATAGGTTAGATATGTACAAGCCACCAGAGAAAGGCGCATTCTCCACCTTTTGCTTATATATACACATACACATAATACCTCGAATAGCAGGCGCATACGAAATCTCAAAGTAAATGCCTCGATCGATAGCCAATCCCACTGTTGTGTGTTTGAAATAGAATGGTAATCGGCTTCCCATTTCAAGTGATATAATATCCACATCAAAAGTGCCGCATGCCATCTGAAAGAGCTTCTCGTTAGTCGGTTGAACCGCAACTAGGTCATAAGATGATATCGTGGAATTCGACGATGTCTGTTCGCATTAGACATCCAGAAAAAGAAAGATCTTGGGATGAAAATTCGTCATCATGATTGATAATCGATCCGATAAACGACAAAACGCTCACCAAACCGTAATTCTGACCCGGATCATCAATTAGTATAGTTAGGCGTGTATATTGCTTTATTTTCTCATTATCCAGTTTCTGAATGGGATTGGGCTGATGCAAGTACACAGAAAGGAATATTAATGAAATGTCTCGAATGGTACTTTTAAATACATCGACGCCTAATATTAGCATATCACCTTTTTTGAAGCTACTTTTCCGGTGTTTGTGTTATTATATGCCACGATATGATATCCAACTACATGCGCAAACATACAAAATTCAACGTTGTTGAGAAATTATTGTCTAAAAGTATTAGATCCTCTTACATTTTACTAGTGTATCGATACTCTTGCGTAGCTCATTTTGGGCATATTCGAGGTTCTGACTGTGTTGAACCGGATAGGGAATGTTCAAGTCATAGAACATCTTTCCAAATGGACTTGGGACAAGGATAGTTACTCGAGATAGAAATACTGTCAGGATGTCGCAGTCACATGACGGTTATCATAAACACCGGGCACTAATTATTCTATCGTTATGTCGTTCACGATTATCTGATGCGTAAGAGATTGGCCATTATTTTTTTTTCGATTTCTAATTTATTTCTGATTCACTTTCTCCTTCGTGCGTTTCATCGTCAGGCAAAATGCCTGTTATTTAATATTGCGTATATAGCGTTACAATGTCAATATCGTCTACGATGAAATAATTCTTAGTATTAGCAAAATTTAATTGTATTTACCTAAATTCGGTAAAGATTATCGTTTATCGCGATTTTATGTGTCCAACTTATCGAATTTTTTAAATATTACGACTTATCGAGTATCGAGAGTGACCATGTATAACCTTGAAATTTGGAGTATACGCGTTCCAATTCCAAGTTATTGACGATTTCAAGAAGACCTATACAAAAAAGTGCAGAAAATTTGAACAAGCTAAACAGAGAAGTTTTTTGCGAGCAAAATTCCCACTAGCAAATTCATCAACGAACTTGAATAGAATACGGAGATGCGAATAATATCGCTTCTGCTTACCCAGTGGAAGTTTTGAAGGCAAAATGTTATTGAATTTGGCAAAGAAATTTCATCTTGTTATCAGGACCAACATGAAAATCGAAAGCGCATAACTCAATTACGTATCAAGTGGCTTGAGTTGGTTACGAATGCACATGCTGTTATTTAATAGTAACAGGGATTTTTGATGTGAAGGCTCTCAGTCAAACATTTTGGTCTTTATAAATTGAAAACGTATTTATAACCTAACACCTAACGCTTAATACTATAATTCAATAATTTCAGCAAAATCACTGAGACTGTCGACATAATAATCAGGCAGTATAGGTGCGTCTTCTGCCAGTATTTCCTTCTCTGTTGATACACCAGTTAGTACAAGAAGAGTATCTATTCCACCATTAATACCAAACTGAATATCAGTGTCCAGACGATCACCAATCATACACGTACGCTCAACGTTCAAGTGGTATTTATCTACGATGCAATCTAACATGGGTTTATTCGGCTTACCCATGACTCTATCTGGTTTACGATTTAACGCGGTGATTAGTGATGATGACAATGAACCAGATCCAGGATACACAGTTCCGTTGGCCGGAAATGTTGTGTCATCATTAGTTAAGAGGAATAAACAGTCCGGATCAGTGCGTAGATAGAAGAACGCTTTAGCTATCTTTCTATAATTTATGAAAGTATCGAACCCACAAAGCACAGCACCAATCTGTTAAATAAAATTGTAAATATTTAGACCAATTATCTTACAACATTACATCATAACCTGCACAGATAGTACCTCTGGATCTGGAGTGATATCAGCAAAATCCCAATTTTGCATTGGTCCATTATCCGTCTACAGTTTATATCGATAATGTCAGTGTCGTAATTATTAGAAACGTAAAAAGAACGGACGAGAGATACAAACATCGGCTTTCGTGTTCTTGATCCCCATTAAATTAAGTTCATCTTCGATGCCTGACTCGCCGATTATATAGACTTTTTTCTCTTTTGGAAAATCAATCATATGTCTCAGATAATAAGCAGCAGCATAAGAGGAAGAAAAAATCTCTTCCTACGAATTGAGGAATAAAGCGTCAACACATTGCAATATTTCCTCCCACCTCAGAAGCATAATCAGTATTCTCTGTCATACTTCACTTGCTTCTATGCCAAAAGTCTGAAGCTTCTTCAGATTGCTTGCGCGTGACCTTGTACTATTATTGGTAACAAACAAAAGCTGTTTGCCTGACTTGCGTATGAATGTTCAATTCGTTAAACACTCGTCCGAAAAAATTAACGATAGTTCAAAAAAGTTTACCTTTCTTTCGAAAATACTTTAACACTTGGAGAACGCCGGGAATAATCGTTTTAGCAGACCATATGACACCTTTAAACGCAGGACTAAATCAATAAACGAGCACTGACTGATACTGATAATCGTTATATATAACTAACCATCACAATCTAATAGCAATGTGTCATATCTGTCGACGAAACGTTGGAAAGCAGCGCGATCAGTAAGTTTAATCGGTTTTGTCATTCTGAACAAGCTTCTTCTGGATCAGAAATAGCGAAACTTGTAAATTTAAAAAATCAATAATAAACGGCAATAATCTGCATGGAATGCAAAGTAATTGGTTGACAAAAAATTCGCCATTACTAAGCACCCTTCAAGTAACATGTTACCGAAAATCACTAATTTATAAAGCTTACCAAAGTACGATATTTCATTGGTCAACGTTATCGAATGTGTAGCGCGTGCAGGACATTTTTGTTTCAAGCATCTCCATGAGCAGTAACATCCATTATCATAATTACATTCCAAATAGGAAGATAATGTTGCCCTAACTTGCTCGAAATGTCTAGTCGCAGATTTAGACCAGTTCGTGCTGCTTCTTTGCAATATTTACCGAGCAAAGAGTTGTGCTTGATTCAAACGTGTTGAACGTCGGTTACTTGATCTGGTTCTGTAAACGGCAGCAGCAGGACATCATATAACTCTGAACTTTGAAGGTTTTTTACAAAAGTTTTTATAATAAGTTTAAATTCCTTAGTTATACGTACGTGACAACAGTCAAGTTCTTTATCGCCAACACAATAGATTTGAAGCTGTAATTGTCGAAATTGGCTGTTGCTCAGCATCCTAATTTTGTTGGCCTCTTTGTACCAACGCGCAAATGAATTCTTTAAAAAGCCTGATATTCCGTTTCTCTCCAACGCATTGTAACTTAGGGAGCCTGCAATCAATGTTAACACTTGTAGCTACTAGTATATAAACTAGGACTATAGCGTTGATCCTCGTCCCCGAAGTGGTCAGAAACATTCGTGTTATAGTAAACAAAGACAGTCATAAAGCCTTGGAGTTAATATTGTAGATGTACAAGTATCAACTTTAGGACTTTGCTTGTCTTCTACGCTACTCCAAAGTGACCCAATTCTAATCCAATTCTGGAATGTAAATAACCAAAACTTTATCTGGTGTAACGATAGTTAATTATTTAATTTCGTTAACTTTGTTGGACACACGGTTAGAACTGCTTTCTTTAATAATAATAACTATCAATTGATCTTTTCAGCCATCCTCCGCCAAACTGTCGAAGAACGAAAATAGAGTCACTCGTAATCTGTATTTCCAATGCTTTATGTAGCAGAATAGGAAACGAGAAGCAATTAACGACGTATAAAATTAAAAATAATCCGCAAGCAGAGAATGACGAAACTTTTCGTCCGCACGAAACTTGCGGGTTTTCAAGTTTGATGAAATGAACCTGTCGCATGTTTCGGAGAATGACGACGTTGGATCAGTATAATAATAACCATCTAATAAGACTATTCAGATAATCTGTTGCCCCATTGATAATCTTGATTCTTGTCAAATATGCCATTCGGATCTTTTTTTCTGCAACCATCTCCGATTGGTGTGCAGAACGATGGATTTCGTTACCACGTGAATAAAATTTTTGTGCAGAAAAAGTATTCAAAAGCTCGAGAGCATCGAATCAAAAAAAAAAATAAAAGTTTTTTACCTCTCTCTCTCTTCAAAACAATCTCTTCAAACCGATTATTTTAATTGATTAATTAGAGCATGCCATCCAAGAAAGATTCTTCAAAGAGAGCCAATGCCAAAGCGAGAAGAGCTTCTGGATCAAACAAAAGATCAAAGGATGCCAAATCCAAGCAGAGAGAATTTCCTGCATCCAAAGACAGTTCGACAGAGACCGAAACCGAAGAACTGAGCGTGAAATTAACAATTAAATTGCCTGGAGGCAAAACCAAGACGGATATAAGTGTACGCTGCATTTTTTTTAGTAAATTGCGTAAACTTGGGCCATATCATACGTTGATTATTCATCTAGCATACATTTTTATATTCACGTAGGTGGGCCCAAACGAACTTGTCCAGGATGTTCGACAATGCATAATTGAGTCTCTTGAAACATGTGAACATACGTGTTTTTCTCTTCACCATAAAGGGAAACGGCTCAATGACTACAAAGAACTCCACGAAGAAGGTATCACATCTGACGACATTCTTGACCTCGTCGAAGGTAATTCACTGTCTTTTTGATGTAATTCACATGTCTATAAGCTTTGCCACTAACTGACTATAAAAAAATGCTACTAGATCCGTATAGTGAAAGAGAAGCTCGAATTCACGTGATGCACTTACGTGAACTCCTAGCCGGACCCTTCAAGCAGGAAATAACATCCGTGGGGGCTGATCCCGGGTTGTCATTTTTCTCAACAGTCACGGACAGTATTGGTATGTGATGAAGGTAGGCTCTGGTTAATAATTACGTGTTGCAAGCATGCTCGATTCTCACACGTTGGTCTCGATATCTGCGGAAAGGGTCTACGAATGAAGTAAAAGGAAACGGAAAGACTAATGGCAATGCAGGCGGATTGACCAAAGCATCAAGTAGCAAAGATTCGGAGAAATTATCGGAGACAAAAGCTTTGAAAAACCCGTTTGCTAATTTTGAGTTCGGGAAGGTTACCCTGACCGATTTCGTTCCCAATAATTTTCAAAAGGGACATATCAAATGTCTAGAAAGCTTATTTCTTTCTGGCTGGAACCCAACGCCCCATGAAAGACGATACCGAGGTATTATTGTTCGTGAACTTGCCACGACCGTAGGGATTTCTAGTCTTATTTATTTATCGTTTTTTTATTAGGAGATTTATTTTACCTGGGCGTAAAAACTCTTGAAAACCAAACTTTTCACATAACAGCCTCAGTGACAGGTTTTTTCATAAACAAATCTACCGACAAAGTCTTTGACGCTTCACCACGTACGGACCTTAAAACATATCACGCACATTCTCTGATAAAGTTACTTCGAGCCAACTCGCCCGAGTTTAATCAAAATTTTGAAATGCTTCAAGCATACATTGCTAAGCATAACGTGCTTGAGATTTTGTCAGTAAGTACCTGTCTGCCGAACTATCCATGGGCTGTAAAACGCAATAAGCAAGTGTACGATTTGGGACGCGTCACGGGAGTATATCTCGATTTTGGTGTTGATGGAGTTGAATCTATTCGAGACTGGAACGAAGAAATCCAGGCACAAAGGGAATATCCGAAAAATGACATCAAAGATAGAGTATTTCGTGAGCGGTTATTGAACAAGACACAGACGGATTTTGCAGAAAGTGCTACTCGAGGAGCTATTGCTGTTGTTAATGGCAATGCGGCCTCGTTCAATCCTCGCGATTCCGAAGAGGAGCATATGTACATCTATAATAATATTTTTTTCAGTAAAGCCCTTGATACGCGAGGCATGTTTGACAAATTAGGTGGTGATGAGGCTGCCTACGTTGCTGCAAATAAGGATTTAGAAGGCATTAGAACATTTAGTTCCCTGGATATTGAAGGGTTGTATACTCTCGGAAGTGTAATTGTCGATTACAAGGGAGTTCGTGTAGTTTGTCAAAGCGTTGTTCCCGGCATTTTTCGTCGCGGCGATGAGTCTATAGTGTATGGATATTTTGATAACGGACAAGATGAAACACGCTTAAGTGCAGAGCCCAAGTTTCATGAAGCACTAAAGGACGCTTCTAGAGCGTTGCATCTCGCTGAACATAGGTGCGTGGTGACCCTCTGAAATGACAATGTGAAAGACTTATTTTGTGGTTTTCTGTAATCGTTTTTACAAGCCGTTCTTTGGATAGTAGTGTTTACATACATGAGACATTTGTAGTGTGAGTGACAAGAAAGGGAACACTGTCAAATTGTATACTTCGCTCGAGACCAAGGTATTTTGATGCCCTCCCCCTTTTTCTTTCCTTGCCTACAGAAGTTAAAGCGAATATCAATTTGTACTGATGAGGCCATTTGTATACAAACGATAAGGGTTTGGTCGGTGATGATGGCCGTCGCTATTTATTTGATTTATATCGGTTGAATCCTGTCGATATCGAATTTCTTGAGAATGAATGCAAGCCCAGAGAAGATTCTTCAATGCCGGCGTATCCCCACAAAATGACTCTGCTTCGACCAGAGTTGATGGAAGTATTTTGGGATCACAAATTACGCCTCGCTTACAAAGAGAAATCTCTAGAGAAGTTGAAGGTGCGATTTTTTGTAATCGTCAATCTCACTGGTCGGATGACTGAAATTGTCTTATTTAATTTGGCAGAATTCCGATCAAGAAAACCAGACAAAAGAAGTGCAGGGCTCGGCAGAAACGACGACGGATACTTTGCCAAAGGGAGAAGAGGAGGTAGAAAAGAGCGAGCCGAAAGAATGTTTACGAGATGATAACGTGAAAGGAGCGGCGACCGATAAGGAAAATGGGATACCTAACGAGACGAAGCAAGAAGAAGAAGCTGCATCCAATAACGAAGCTGCATCCAATAACGAAGCTGCATCTAATAACGAAAAGCCTTCAGAAGAACGCGTTGTCGATAGTTCAGACTTGAATGAATTCAATCTTGCATTCAATGCCGACGCTTTTACGGATTATAATAGACCAGAAAATGATGAAGTAAATGCACAAGTAGCTTCTGACGAGAAGAACGTGCGTGAAGTATCAAAATTTTTAAGAGAAACAATCATTCCGACTCTGGTAACGTTGCATTACAAAATTCATCGTCTCATTTTCACTCATTTTATTTGAAACAAAATCTGAGCGCCTTAATCGCTATGATTTAGATCGTGGAATTTGTTACGTTTAATGTATCCCCAATGGTTGGGCTCTCACTTACGAAAACTCTTCATCGCCGCGGTATAAACATGCGATATCTTGGGTTTATTCTTGAAAAAATTGATCAGTCTGATGATAAGCATCGTTTAGAACATATTAGGGTAATTACTGCACCAAAAATATCTTTTTTTTTTTACATGGAAACCTCCAAACACAATGTAATCTGACTCATACTCTATAATATGTTTAGCATCTCTGCATACACGAAATGATCATACGCGCATGTAAACGCATTCTTCGCAGTCTTTTACGCGAAGCATCCATAACATATGCGCCTAATATTGTTTCTCACTTTTTCAACTGTCTCCTTGGCGTGAAACTCAACCCTAATCCA